TCTGGTATCGATGTGCTTCTCTTTACTCGACCAAACAAACCAATAAATCTGGGGGTGCTGGAAGGAAAGAACGTAGTAGTCCCCATTATGTGCTCGTCTCTCCTTTCTAATAACACTGGTGAGTGGTTTGTTTTGTCTGCTTCCCCTTAATAGAGAGGTGAGCGGGTTGTCTGATTCTGAGGAGTGGGTGGTTGGCGGGTGTTCTAGTGGGGTTTGCTTCTTCTTTCCTATCAGCAAACATCTATCGTCCTTATTTACCCTTTTCTTTTTTGTGTTTCTTACTCTCTTGTAACTCCTCTAATCTTCTGGCACTTATATTATGACCTAATTGTGCTGCAAGTGCCGTAAAACGCTTACTAAAGTAAAGCTAAAAACTCTTACTAAAAGTGTACACCTCTAATCTTGGGGAATTATATGACCTAAGTGTGTTGCAAGTGCCGTAAAACGCTTACTAAAATAAAACAAAAACTAAGCCCTCTAGGTGAATATGTTATGGGATGTGCACAGAATATTGTGTAGTGTGAGTCTCATTGTCTTGGATTCGGAACATGCCTCTTGCGACTTCCTTCGACCTGGACATATTATTTGTGGGTCGTTGGCGGGTGCTCCGGTGTAGTTAGCTTCTTCTTTCCTATCAAACAACTATCGTCTTTATCTCCCCGCCAGTGGGAGGTTGGCGGGTGCTCTGGTGTGGTTTGCTGCTTTTTTTCCCTATCAAACAACTATCGTCTTTATCTTATCTCCCCTCCTTCCTTTTTGTGTTTGTTACTCTCTTGTAACTCCTCTAATATTCTGCTCTTACGTGACCTTATTGTGTTGCAAGTACCGCAAAACTCTTACTGAAACTAAAGCAAGGTTCTTTTATTATGGGATGTGCGCTCTGTGTCGTGTAGTGTGATTTTCAGTGCCTTGGATTCGAAACATGGCGGCCTCCTTTGACTTTTTTCGATCTGAATATAATTGTTACAATTTGTGTGAGTGGAGATCTCCGTTGTGTTGATATGTGTTGGTATCGGTGAACATCATCACGTGACTGTGGATGGACTTGAACATTCGTCGTTGTTTTAGTGTTCGCACGGCGTCTGTGATTGTAATGTCGTACCTCACCAGTGTTTGAGATTGAGCTCTGAGTTGGGGGGGAGATTCTGTCGGAGTCGTGTTCAGCACCACTTTGTCGCCCCTCCTTATGGCCCTTTCTTAAATGACCAAAAATTGAGTCGATAGTGCCGTAAAACTCCTACTCAATCGAAAAGGTCCTCCTCATCCAACAGAAAGATCTGTGGTTTCGCAAAGAGGTTATAATCACCTCGTGACGTCACAGCTGAGACCTCTAGTTCTATTTATAATCTCTTTGGTGGTTTCGTTTTCTTTCTTCTTTTTTTCGCACGGATTTCTGCCCGGAAGGTGCGCACCTTATTTTATTCCTGGGAGATTTTTCGCTGCTGCTGCCGTTGTTGTTGTTACCAGCGGTCCGCGGCAAGACGGTTTTGGTGTCGGCGAGTGCGGGCGTGTGAAGACAGTGTGTGTTGTTGAGGAGAGCGCGTCGTCCCCCCTCAGTGTAAGCGCTTGTTGCACTTGAAGAACCCACCACCACACAGAACCACACCACCACACA